AACATCCCTAGTCTGACGTGAAACAGCCATTGCCATGGGCTATGATTCCCATGTCTCACTATAGCTCACAAAAACGCTATCGTCTGGAAAGAGAATGGTGCTGACAACTAGTCTATCAGTAAAAGGCTGAGAATTATAGCATATATAACAAGTATCTGCATTGTGGCACTGGTAGTCATGTCTATCCACAACCTTCTGTTTCATGTACTTACTTTCAATCAACTCTTGACACAGACGATCTTCCATGCCATGATGTCAAACCGGCCAGCATCTTTCTCTCAGTCTGCCTCTACTCCAACTTTCCTACCGTCACAATGTACTCCAGTTTTCTCCTTTTCGTCACATGACCAAAGAATGTAGATTGTCTCTTTCTGATGTGGGCAGTCAGTTTTCTTCATGGGTCAGTTTCTTTCCAGACATCTTGATTACTCTTTTTATCTGTCCAGGGTATTTTCATCATTTGTCTACAAAACCACGTCTCCGCAGCTTCCAAATGATTTTTCATTAATAAACCACCAACTGTCCATGATTCACTTCCATATATGAAGAAACAATTTATATAGACTAGCTATTAAGAATTCTCTTTCTCATCTCAATTGACAAAGAAAGATTGCATAAAATAATCTTTACTTTGTAAAATGCTGCCTTTGCTTGAGCTATTGTACATTTAACTTTTTAATATACCTTCCATGTGATGTTATCAGGGTACCCAAGTACTTGAAGATATTAACCTTAGGGAACAGACCCCTGCGCACATACTGTACTGTCCTAACCTCTCCCAGCAAAGACTGTGGATCTGGCCCAAGGGAGCCACATTGAAAGAGAAGCTATGGGGGACCGGTGGCGACCTTAAACGCACAATCCTATTTGTGACCCAGACGGGACTCAATGTCTAGCATGACTGATATCGAACGCAGAAGAACGAACGCAGAAGAAGAAAATAACCCTAGGGAGCAACTAAACAAATCCTAGCCTGCAGTTCATCGCAACTATTTTAGCCAAGGTCTTGACATTCTCTGCACTTTTCCCCGCTTCCATTTTTACTGCATTCTGTGTCACGCGAGATATGAGTTCTGCTTCTAGCCGCCTCAGCCATAGACACATTGTGCTGTTGAGTTTGTCTTTCCATATTGCTCTTGGTCTACCTTATGATCTACTTCCCTTCTTGGCACATGCCTTGTATATTATGGTGTCACAAGGCTCTCTCTATGTCTTTGATTTGTTGTCTTTGTATGCACTTTAGAATTGGTTCTGTGCTGACTTTCCTTGTATGACCTCATTTCTGATTTGATTCTTCTGTTCCCGTCTCAAACATTTGAATTCCATGGTTACTAATGTTCTTTGGTTTGTTGTTGAGTGACCATCTGAAGCGCTAGCAGAAAAACCACACATTTTCCAGATTTATGATATCTGTCATGCAACAAAGCCAAAGGGTTCGATATTTATAGTACCAAGCCAATAGTTTGCAGCTCATGGCTTCTGAACAATTTGCCAGTCGGTGTAAATCAGAAAGGGAACACAAGAAGAAGAAGTGACCATCTCTCTCATTAATAGCACAGAGTGGGAATAAATAAGCTTTGTATGAACTGTGTCTTAATGCTGATTGGGATTGCCTTATGCTGTCCTGATACTTGGTTTGCTTAATGGCATCTGATGTTAATTTCTTCATCCAATTTCCCAACTTTGCAGGTAGTAAAGACAGTTCAAGCTGGTTGAAACCAACCAATATATATTTTTAGGAATGGTTAGGTTTATTTTACTACACATGTTCATTTCTTACCATCTTTTTTTGTTTGTTTCACTGTCAACTTTATGAAACTAAACAAGAAACAGACAACATTGCACACACAAGTCAACAATAAGAATAGTTGAGATCCCAGTGTGGGTTCTGGGGTCCCACTGTGGGGAAAACAAGACTAGTCCCACTGTGGGGAAAACAAGACTAGACCCACTGTGGTGAAAACAAGACTAGACCCACTGTGGTGAAAACAAGACTAGTCCCACTGTGGTGAAAACAAGACTAGTCCCACTGTGGGGAAAACAAGACTAGTCCCACTGTGGGGAAAACAAGACTAGTCCCACTGTGGGGAAAACTAGACTAGACCCACTGTGGGGAAAACAAGACTAGTCCCACTGTGGGGAAAACAAGACTAGTCCCACTGTGGGGAAAACAAGACTAGTCCCACTGTGGGGGAAAACAAGACTAGTCCCACTGTGGGGAAAACAAGACTAAATCCACTGTGGGGAAAACAAGACTAGACCCACTGACCCCTCAACCAGCATGTCGCAAGCTTCAACAAATTGGGGGCTCTCTTGAAAGTCAGAGTGCATTTGCCTGACAGGCAAGAAACCAACAGTCTGCATTCAAATAAGCAAGTACGGATGCGCATACAAAACTCAGGTCCTGGAACAATTCTGCTGGGGTTTACAGTCAGTTTACACAAACAACAAAAAAATAGTTGAGCAATTCTCCAGCACATAACGTTCATCTGGAATTTATTGACAAATTCATCGACACCAACAGCAAAAATGTATCGGAAAACTAGAAAGAAAAGACAATTTAACAAGAAAAAACGAAAACAAAACAAAGTAAAGGACCTTTTTCACACATTGGCACCTCGGACATATGATGCTAGACACATTTTCATAACCCACTCAGCAGGTGATGTCGATATCATACCACCCGCCTTGACTTCCCAGCACTTTTACATAGTACCCATTTTAAACTGGATCAACCTGGTTGCAGATTCACACCGCTAGACCTCTGGGTCATCAGGTGAGAGTAGGGAGAGAAAAAAAACTGACTGGGGGAACATGTTGAAAATAAGAAAAGTATTCAATTCTGGGGGGGAAGATAAATTTGCCAACTTTTTGAAGCAAGGCTAAAAGAACATTCCTGCAGTAATTGTTACAAAAGAACAACGAAGAAAAGAAAGGGAAGATAAGCAGAACAAAGAACAGACTAAAGTTGACAAAGAATTTTGCACAAGAAAATTTTTAACAAAATATTAGGAAAGAAACATCATCACAACCTGATTACTGTTTAATATAACACAAAACTGAAGTGAGTGTCAGCCATATCTCTTGGTCACTCCCTGCTGCGCCATTCTATTCAAGCTGTGATACTGTTCTGTTTATGAGCTTCCACAGGGGCTTGAAATCATACAGCTTGTCAAGCATCAATTTACCACCAAACAGAGCAGAACTAGCCAATCTGTCTGCCTGTCCATTTCCCAACACACCAGAACACCCTGAAGAAAACATCAGAAGGACACCGACTACTATCTAGGACCTAATAAATTAAAATGACACTTGTTCACATCACCTGAACTGCCTTGAACTGGACAGGAATATCGGCTCTATCTTACGAGTCTGAAAACAGAGTTTAAGATAGTTTTTGAGCTATCATGGAGGTCAAAGCTGTGACAAAGGCCCCAGAATGGCTTAAAACTCAGGAATTCACTAACGCATGTTTGCTCAGCGATTCAATTAACATGCTACAAAAGATCAAGGCAGGGTACATACGGAAACAGTGGCTCCATCTGATAAAGAACGCATGGTTTCACAAAAGCCAGTGGGAGAGCAGACGCCCTGGCTGGCAGTGCGACAATCTGTAATTGTGCCATTTATGGACAGGAAATTTATCATCCATGCCATACGAGAGACTAAATGCTGTAAGACTCAGGTTCAAGGGAAATTTTTTTCTCTCACTAAACTGACTGTATACCTGGATGTACCAGTTGCAGCTACTTGACAGAAAAACCATACTGGAGCCACCTGTCGTTACATTAACCACAACAGAATAGGTGTTGTTAACCTAAAAAAAACACCTGGAGGCATACTCAGGAGGAGGTCGGAACACTTATGGTCATGTCAGATGTGCGATGAAGATGATCTTTAAAATGAATAATGAACAATTTTTAGTTAATTCAAAGTAGCACATTAGTAGTTAATAATTACACACAACTGATTGTAATACATTCAAGCTCTGTGATACACCAGTCAGTGTTTTATATGTGTCACACAGACAAGTAAATCTGGCACACTCAAGCTCTTTGATACACCAGTCAGTGTTTTATATGTGTCACATAGACACTGATTGTAGCACAGTCAAGCCTTATGATATATCACAGCATTTTATTTTTTTAAATCTCACACAATGAACACAGCACATTAAAACACCAGTTTCATATATGCCACACAGACAACTGAAGGCAGCAAGCATTTGTATATACAAATCAGGCAGTCATGATATAACAAACAAGCAAACAAAAACAAAATAAAAAATTAAAAGACCCTTTTGACCCCGGTAGTGCTTTGGGCATATGATGCTAAACTCATACTTTATAGATCAATCAGCACTCGATGAGTGACAAGTGACATTGCCTGGTATTCATATTTATTGTAGCAAATTTCTTTCTTGATCCAAACTGAACTGCTTTCACAGTTCATAGAAAGGATCTGAGCCCTCATGTAGTTGCTCCAGACATCTTCTGACTGCTTCATCCCTGGAAATTCCATTTACCCAGCAGTTCTGCTGTGGCCTGTCCTCAAAAAGCCTGGTTAACTTTGTTGGGTTCTAATTATGCCACCTGGGCAGTGTTTAGGAGGCCAATAAATTAAGCTATTTACTAAAAACAGCATTTAAAGGGGTTTTCTTTGAAACAAATCGCTATTATTTACCAAAGTCTTAAATGTTAGAATTCCGTTGAGATCATGAGCCAACAATATGAGTCATCCGATACTTTTTTTTTTAATAGGCCCTATGGAATTTTTCCATTTAATGCTTCACCCTTGTTGTTTATTAGTAAATACCTTAAAATATCTTCTTACATTTTTACAAATGTATTGGTCGGGATTTTTTTTTGGTGGTTAAATGTATATTTTCGGGAATTCCCACAGATGTCTGTCCTTTGTTTAAGCATTTCCAGGATGAAAGAGTTCAGTCCTGTTTGATCCAAAACGTGATTGCCTAGCTAAGCTGTCAGAATCACTGAGGACTACTTTGATTCCTCTAGACACCGCTTGGCTGCCTGCTGCATGTTCTGCTCTTGCTTTTGAAGACTGTTCAGCTTATCAACATCCTCCTGACTGCTGCACAGGACCACAAAATGGCTGCCCTGCCTACGTGCTCTGCCACGCATCTGTACCAGGGCTCGCAAACTGTTTGGTGGGTTCATGCAAACTACCAGCTGTAGAGCTTGAATGTCGATACCTTCCTCCATGATAGAGGTTGCCACTAGGATATGGTACCTTTCAGAGATAAACAAGGTTACACTCATTAATAAAGTTGCTCATTAGTATATTGACAGTAAGCACCCTTTCGCCACAACCATCAACTATCCCAGTGCTTTTACTGTCAACGTAAGTCCCTACACTTTCACTGTAAACATAACAGTCCCCACAACTTTGATGTCAACATAACTGTCCCTACACTTTCACTGTCAACTTTAATGTCAATATAACAGTCCCCACAACTTTATTTCAACATAACTGTCCACACAACATTGATATCAACATAACTGTACCCACACCACAACTTTGATGTCAACACTACAGTCTCCACAAATTTGATGTCAACATAACTGTCCCCACACATTTAATGTCAACATAACAGTCCCCACAACTTTATGTGGGAAAGATCCGACATATGGCTTTACTCCTTGGTTGATGTTGTACTGCTGCGTAAGCCGCCATCAAAAAGCACAGCCTTTCTTTAGAATCATCATGACATGAATGGTACAGTTCATTTGTTAAAAACAGGAATTAGACTTAACATTATAACTGGCTTGTTTACTCTGTGATTACATATTAACATACCCCGAGAGCAACATATGAAGAGATAATAACAAAGCTTCAGGATAGACACAGGATCAAACCATGAAACAAAACTACATGAAATCCTAAAGTTGCAGTCCAGACTGACCAGAACAGATTACCATTCTTCACCATGAAGCAGGGAAAAACAATAAACAAACACATGTATAGACTTCCCCTGCTTGTGTATTCCCAAAACCCTTGGAATGGTAAAGTTACACTGTGTTGAGCACGCTGTTGGTGGCAAACAAGACCAGAGCTGGTTTTAGGTACCCCCATCCCATTCAGCTACAAAATACACACAAAATGTAAAAAAGTCTAGACGGCCTTTTTGCAGACTAGTTAGCACGTAGGATATACTTCTAACAAAATTGCCTAGCTTAAATAATGCGGACACAAATAATACATTGCACAATTTATTACCAGGCATATTTTCCTGTATCTCGTCAGGTGCGTTACTACAGAGTTACATCAACTCAAAATGAAGCACAAAACTGAATAAATCTAACTGAAATGTGAATAGTTTCTTGTCTAGTTTGCTAGAAAATACATCTGCACATTGTTTACTTCCCAAAAATGTATACTCACTTTTCATGATTATCAAAGACCTTCCGCTGCTTCTTGACATCCATTCCTCCATCTTTAGCTCCCTTGCCATGCCCTACGATGTGTCCCACTCGTAGGTTTTTCTTCTCCACCATAGGATGTGCTCTCAGTTTCAGGCAATACTGTCTGGCCCGCTTTCTTTCCCTCACAAGCACAAGAGCTCGGCTGGATGTGTCTGCCCAGCTGATTAAATCTGGATCCTGCAAAGTCTACAACAGACAAGAGGAGAAGATCAATTGCTTGAAAGCTTGTAGTAAACTTGTTTTTTTTCCCCCCTCCAATTAACTAAAAGGATAAAAACTATTATCATCATGCAGCAGATCCTTTGCAGAACATTAAGCTCAGTCTATTGTCAAATGTAGCTGGAATATCTGAGGCCAGGAATACCAGCATCTACATTGTGCACATCAAGGCTCGAACCAAATGCTTCTTTAAAACCTGACAATGAAAGGCAGAAAACAACCCAGAGAAGATAAGTAATTTTTTTTTCCTTTGAGGAGAGAGAGAGAGAGAGAGAGAGAGAGAGAGAGAGAGAGAGAGAGAGAGAGAGAGAGAGAGAGAGAGAGAGAGAGAGAGAGAGAGAGAGAGAGAGAGAGAGAGAGAGAGACAGACAGACAGACAGACAGACAGAGAGAGACCTAAAACATGAAGAAAAAACCCACATGTATTTTCTTCTCAAGTCTTGCTCTGCCTTTCAGTATCAGGTTTTGAACAGGCACAGGGTGTGAGCCTTGGTATGTGCACTTGTAAATGCTGTGTATTTTCACCCTTTGCTATTCCACCTATCAATGGTCCAATACACCAGTAGCAAAAAAAGGGCTTTTTATATAGAAGGTCAAGATGATGAAGGAGAATAGCCACAGGCTGATAATGTCATGGCCTAGAACAGGGCTGTTCAACTGGCTGCCCTTGGGCGGAATCTGGCCTGCAAAGGTTTAGCAAGTGACCTGTTGGATTACTGCCAACTGTATGGTATTACTGATCTTTCCATGCTGGGACTCGACCCTCTGGCCCTTGTGCGTAAACTTAATTTAATAGCCCTAGCCTACAATATGTTAAACCCTGAACACTTCCCACATCAGTGGCAACATCTACCTTGGAACTGCTTTAAGCTTTATAAATTGTTTGTAAGTTCTCTCTTCTTCTTGTTCTCTTTAGCATATCATCTCAAGGTACTATAAAATAATCCCAAAAATGAAATAACGACTCAAAGAAAACTAAGTGCACTTTTTCAAGACTGGTCCTTAAAAGGGTAGCCGGCATGTTTTGCTGAGATTTACAGCTAGGCTGCGATATCTGCGCCTTGTGGCCCAACAAATTTGATTTTAGCATGTCCTTTAATTAGCCTCCACTGACGACATGAGTCAGCGGCAGTGGGTTGGTCTATTCTATTCAAAATAGGACCCTAGAACCCACACAGAGAACAAGTACACAAGACACAAGTGTTCACACACATACCAAGTATTTGTAAGAGAAGATAACCTTACCTCTACCAGCTTGGAAAACATGGTCAGGTCATTGTTGCCATCATTAGCAAAAAGAACCGCACGCTCATAGATTTGATCACATGGCAAGCCCATTTTTTTAAATTCCTGAAATAAGGCAGATGACACGGGTGACTAAAAGTGTTTACTAACAAAAATCATGGTGCAACTTTCATGTGTATGTATGCATATTTATAAAAGCGTGCATGATTCTGTGTCCAGATAAGTGTATTTATGTATATGTGAATATATGTATTTGCATTCCATGCCTTTGTGTTTTTTACTTTTTATATTCATATCATGTATACTGCTATAACACAACATACCTTAATTTTAAATATAACTGCTGTGTGAAATACGAGTGTCTGGAAGGGCGAATATAAGTCGGAGCTCATGCCCAGTTTGTCACCCGTCACACAAAAATTTCATTTTTTCAGGGATGTTGAATTAAGAATTGACATGACAGCACTCGGGAACCCCCATAAGCGCTCCGTCCCCATCTTCAGCAGTAAGCAAAGAGTTAAAATTCCGATGGTACCAGTAACTGTCTGATTGTATATCCGTCTCGCATTTCCCCTGAGTGTCGAGCGTCGGCCAGATCCCCTCGGCACTCCTCGCAGTGCCATTCTCCTCAGACCGTAATGATCTATCTGTTCCTCGGCAGTGTTCACTCGCTCCCAAAGGGCCCTCGCAACATCTAGCTTGTCATACATCAGTTCACCACCAAGTGGTGCAGAACCAGCCAGTCTATCTGCCTGCTCATTTCCCAACACACTGGCATGCCCCGGAGAAAATATCCAAAGGATGCTGACTACCCAGAACTTCTGAAGTGATGCCTGCCACTCTGCACTGAACATGCCAGTCTCCACCTTTCTTAGCATGCTTTGTGAGTCAGTTACAGTGAAGACATGTGTGTACAGCTGATTCTCAAGCCAACGGAAGGCAGCAGTGACTGCCTCCACCTTTCTTAGCATGCTTTGTGAGTCAGTTACAGTGAAGACGTGTGTACAGCTGATTCTCAAGCCAACGGAAGGCAGCAGTGACTGCCTCCACCTTTCTCAGCATGCTCTGTGAGTCAGTTACAATGACGACATGTGTGTACAGCTGATTCTCAAGCCAGCGGAAGGCAGCAGTGACTGCCTCCACCTCCAATCTCAACATTATGATATCATATGCAAGGCTTTGCTGTATTAAGTGGCGTCCATTCGACTTTGCTATGAACCCCCGTGCACTTCGTCTGCCTCTCAATACCTCGCCATATGTATAGAATCCCAGACGCTCCATTTTTCGCCTGACTCTCCTATTTCTATGCCTTCTCCTCTTTCCACTCATTACGTTGCCACCTGAAGATGGTATCAAGCACAGAGCACGCACTCCCTAGCTCCGGCGATGATTCTCTTTATTATTGAGTACAAAATCCACAGTCTTATCAAGTGATGCAAACCACTGTGTGCATAGAATACCAAGTTTCTATTTTCCAAAGCATCTCTTTAGACAGGTACAAGTACAATATGTCAGGCTGTCTAATCTCCTATCATCATAAGTTGCAGTTACTACCCCTACCTCCATTTTCATGCTGGAAGATGTGGCCTTATACACTAGGCTCCATTAAAAAAAAAAAAAAAAACACTATCCACTTTTGCAATCAAACTCCATGCACTTTATTTTATTTTTCACTACAGATTCATGTGTGGATATAATATCACCACAGTGTGAATTTTCACTGGGCAGTGCTGTCTGTCTAATGCTACTGTCATAAAAATTGTTTTGAATAACTTGCTTCAGTGCTACCTGGCTAATGCAATTTGCTATTCTTTCAGATTTTCAAGTTAAGAGAATGCACTTCTCAAAGTTTTACACTGGTTTACTCGACCCCTCCCACACATACAAGTTTTTTTCATAACAGCCAAGAGACCACAAATAGCTTCTCCCTGTATCCTGAGTCATTACAACCCACGTCAACCCTAAGTTGAGAATCAAACTATCTCACTGCCATTGTTCTTGAAGGAGAAAAAATGGCAGAGGTCCTACACCTCAGTTGTTCCTGAAAAAGATAACTACCCTGTCATACCTCAATTATTCATGAAGGAGGTAATGTCCTACTTCAGTTATTCTTGAAAGAGATAACTGCTCTAATGTCCTACTTCAGTTTTTTATGAAAGAGATAACTACCCTAATGTCCTACCTCAGTTATTCCTGAAGGAGGTAATGTCCTACTTCAGTTATTCTTGAAAGAGATAACTGCTCTAATGTCCTACCTCAGTTATTCCTGAAGGAGGCAATGTCCTACTTCAGTTTTTTATGAAAGAAATAACTGCCCTAATGACCTACCTCATTTATTCCTGAAGGAGATGAATGTCCTACCTCAGTTATTCCTAAAGGAGACAAATGTCCTACCTCAGTTATGCCTGAAGGAGACAGATGTCCCAACAGTTCCTCAATGTCAGCACCAGAACCAACTTCTGGGATGATCAACAGCAGCTGGCAGATGTGAAGTCTCAGATTATCAAACCGGTTCCTGCCCGTCACATCCACCTCATCAATGCATCTAGCTTTAAAAATCACATCTAGCACTTCTGACAGAGGCTCTGGGTCCTTCATGAACTTTTCTGCCAGCTGTGAGGCCACCTGAGAAAATCAACAACATCAATTCAGAAAGCTGTATTGTTAATGGCATTATGATCATGTGCGTTCCAGAGGCACAATTTTGGGGAGGGGGAATACACCCACTGACACTTAGTAAACGTCATAAAATGTAGCAAAACATCTGGCCAAGAGAAACACTGGCGGGAGCAAAACATCTGGCCAAGAGAAACACTGGCAGGAGCACAACTTCTGGCCAAGAGAAACACTGGCGGGAGCAAAACTTCTGGCCAAGAGAAACACTGGCAGGAGCAAAACTTCTGGCCAAGAGAAACACTGGCAGGAGCAAAACTTCTGGCCAAGAGAAACACTGGCGGGAGCAAAACTTTTGGCCAAGAGAAACACTGGCAGGAGCAAAACTTCTGGCCAAGAGAAACACTGGCGGGAGCAAAACTTCACGGCAGCTGAGTAAATTAAAAAATAAATAGAGTGAAGTTTATACTAGAGACAACATTGCAGATATAGATAATCTATTTCAAGCGAAGGAAAGAACAAGAAAGAGGAGGTCGTAAAATTTATACATTAAAGGTTTACCAAAATCAGATTGTATTGGCCAAGCTGTAAAACACAACAGAACATGCCAACCGCCTTTCAAGGGCAAATGCATAAGAAGAAATTACGTTAAATGACATCAATTTAAAAGATAAGGGGAGGGTTCCATTTACAAATGGTTAAACAGTCTGCCTCGCACTGTAAAGGTCATGGGTTCGGGCTCTGCCCTTGAGTTCACAAGTACAAGTGTTTCAGAGATTCCTGAGGGGTCAGTAATAGAGGTAATGGCACCAGATAGATACAATTTTCCTGCAAGCCTCAGTGATAGAATGGCACCAGATACATACTGTTTTCAGACCCCAGGGAAAATATCCTATCAATACAAATCTTTTCCCAAAACATTAATATACTAACTAAACACCAAATTTAGGGTGTTTTCCTCTGAACAAAATGGCTTTTTTTTAACGCTCAGTTGACATACAATTTTCCTGCAAGCCTCAGTGTTAGAATGGCACCAGATACAAACTGTTTTCAGGCCACAGGGACTGTATTATTTCAATACATATTTTTCAAAAACATTACATACTCACTAAACACAGAATTTAGGGTGTTTTTCTGTGAACAAAATGGCTTTTTTTAAAGCCCAGTTGACATCACATTTTCCTGTAAGCCTCAGTGATAGAGGTCAAGGCACCTGATACATACTGCTTCAAGCTCCAGGAGAATGTATTTTATTTAATGCTTCCCTCTGTTCACATTTACTGATTACACCCTTTATAATACATCTTTACATATTTATAATTTTGTTTATTAGGGGTGTTGGGTGGGGGGGAGGGGGGGGGGGGGGGGGCCGTCTAATGGCTCTATTTTAATTTTTAAAGCTCTAATAATGGTGGATTTTGTAACATCACTAGACCTATATTAATAGATCAATCAGTGTTACTGCAGGATGCAGTCAAAATCACAAAGGTTTGTCTTCACACTCCACTTTCTTGAACCCACTTCAGGCTGGATACACCTGGAAGCTCAGGTCTGTTTTAATACAATCCCAACTTGAAATGAGATCTGAACACAGCACCCATGGGCCGGTATGCCAACCCCAGTGTGAATGCAGTATATAACGCATTAGTTCAACTAAGAGCAAGACAAAGCACACAGCTGGAACAAAGCTAGAACAAAATCATATGAATGCAAATTTTGACAGTACAAGTGAAACCATGCTGGCAGTTAAATCAGTGATTTTTAATCTTTCTTTTTCAGGTCATGCCACCCTTAACTATATAGCAAGAGACCAGAACCCCCCCCCCCCCCCCCCCCCCTCCACCCCATGGCCCCTCCCACCAACTTGACAAAAAGAAATGTGATTAATAAGAAGAGGACAAAAAGAAAGCTGCAAGCATTATTACCAAGAACTGTGTTATCTTTTGAATTTGATGTTAAACGGTTGATATACTGCTCATGAAAACAACAACGTTCTTGGCTTTTTGTTTTATAAACGGTTTTTAAAAAAACATTTTATTTATAATTTATTTTATTTATAATTAAAAAGTAAATTTGTCAGTATAACAGATTATTACAAGTACAAATAAAGTTTTAAAAAACTGATTGACGTCCCTCTAGAAACTCCCTTTGCCCAGCTGACGGGTGGCTCCCCAGGTTGAAAAACACTGAGTTAAATCTAACTAACACAGTATTCTGTTTCAGGGATAGACAAATCCAGGGTACATGGTTGTCATGGTATGTGGAAAATTTTTAATTTTCACATTAACAATGCTGATAAAAAAAATATAACATGATAAAATCAAAGACAATTTTATCAGTAAACAAACTGCTGACCTCTCTATCCCCTGGTTTACGGACTGCATCAAGAAAGAAAGAACACGGTGGTTCATCACTCCGCAAGTTATGGGTCATCAAAGCCAGCTGGGAGTAACACAGGACAATATACTCCAACAGACGCCCTTTGAAATCCTTCTCCTTGCTGGACATGGGCACACAAATGGGCTTGACTTTGGCCATAGACTGGTAATGGTCCAGGCAGTCGTTCTCCTCCTCCACTACAGCTACAGAGGCTCCACCTGCACAACAAAAACATACAGAAAAGTTAACTGCACATACATGTACAAGGTGTCCCATCAGTTTTATTGACACAGAACAAAATACTATGTCCCATAAGTTTTATTGACACAGAACAAAATACCATGTCCCATCAGTTTTATTGACACAGAACAAAATACCATGTCCCATCAGTTTTATTGACACAGAACAAAATACTATGTTCCATAAGTTTTATTGACACAGAACAAAATACCATGTCCCATCAGTTTTATTGACACAGAACAAAATACTATGTCCCATAAATTTTATTTACACAGAACAAAATACCATGTCCCATCAGTTTTATTGACACAGAACAAAATACTATGTCCCATAAGTTTTATTTACATAGAACAAAATACCATGTCCCATCAGTTTTATTGACACAGAACAAAATACTATGTCCCATCAGTTTTATTGACACAGAACAAAATACCATGTCCCATCAGTTTTATTGACACAGAACAAAATACTATGTCCCATCAGTTTTATTTACACAGAACAAAATACCATGTCCCATAAGTTTTATTTACATAGAACAAAATACCATGTCCCATAAGTTTTATTTACACAGAACAAAATACCATGTCCCATAAGTTTTATTTACACAGAACAAAATACCATGTCCCATCAGTTTTATTTACACAGAACAAAATACCATGTCCCATAAGTTTTATTTACATAGAACAAAATACCATGTCCCATACGTTTTATTTACATAGAAAAAAATACCATGTCCAATAAGTTAATTTACATAGACCCCTGTGTGGGTTCTGGGGCCCTACTATGGGAAAAACAAGAACAGACCCACTGCCTACCCAAAAGCATGTCGTAAGAGTTGACTAATTGGGAGCTTCCTTCGAAGTCAAAGTGCATCTGCCTGAGAGGCAAGGAACCAACAGTCTGCATACAGATCTGTCAAACAGATGCACACGCAACACTCAGGTTCTGGAACAGGACTGCAGTCCAGAATTGGACAAACATCCAAAATTTTGAGCCGGAGTTTACAGCCGTTGAACGCAAAGAAGAAGAATTTACATAGAACAAAATACCATGTCCCATAAGTTCATTTACACAGAACAAAATACCATGTCCCATAAGTTCATTTACATAGAACAAAATACCATGTCCATACGTTTATTTACATAGAACAAAATACCATGTCCCATAAGTTCATTTACATAGAACAAAATACCATGTCCATACGTTTATTTACATGGAACAAAATGCCATGTACCATAAGTTAATTTACATAGAACAAATTACCATTGTTTTGAAAACATATTTTGACGTGTTGTGCTCCCCTGCTGTGGAACACGTAGAATCACAGCTGGAGTTATGTTTGTAAAGGTGGTAATGTGTTTATGTTTCCTATGTCATGTAGAACCTATACTGCTGTATGGTAGTCTTCTTCTTCTTCTTCTTCTTCGCGTTCACCAGCTGTAAACTCTGGCGGAAGGTTCTGGTTGCTCGTCTACTACTGAACTGCAGCCCTGCTCCAGAACCTGAGTGTTGCGTGTGCATCAGTTTTACAGATCTCATTCTCTTGAATACAGACTGTTGGTTCCTTGCCTCTCCGGCAGACGCACTCCGTCTTCAAAGGAAGCTCCCCAATTAGTTGACTCTTACAACATGCTTTTGGGGAGGCAGTGGGTCTATTCTTGTTTTCCCCACAATGGGGCCCCGGAACCCACGCGGGGGTGTATGGTAGTGAATCAAATTAGAAAGAACTTGGAGGTGATGGAGATGTTTTTCAGACAAATGTTAAGAATCCCTTGGACTGCCAGAGTAACTAACGAGGACTGTTTGAAGGAAGCTAAAGAAAGCAGATCAATATATACGGCTATAAGGAAAAGACAGGCACTGTTCTTTGGTCATGTGATGGGACAGCTAAGGGGGAGGCTTTTGAGAATATTGTGATGACTGGGAAGATTAACTGTAGAAGAGGGAGAAGCAGAGAGAGAGATGATGATGGATGGTCTGCAACAGTGGTAGAGGGATATCATCGGTGGAACTGATCCAGAGAACAAAGACCAAGGTCTGTGGAGATGCGTGAACACCTATATGCCAGGGTAGGTGACGATAATGATGTATAGAAACTTCTGGGACTTCCTCTACTTCATGAGCAGCTGCGGTAAGGTGGTTGACAGACCTTCATCTGTAACCCCAAAGGGTCTTGGATCTGAATTCACATTGAGCTCCCCCCCCCCCCCCCCCCCCCCCCCCCCCCCCCCCCAGCTAGCCCCCCTCTTACAGCAAAAGACAATCCCAATCAGCACAAAGAGACTTCTTATTCAAAGCATATTTATTCCAACTCTGTGCTACCAGTGCCAGACATGGTCACTCACAACAAACCATAAGTTAAAAATTAAAGAACCCTTTTTCTGTTTCTGGCCAGAAGCACTGAACATTCAACCTTTTTACCCTGTGAATGCTTAAATAAAAATAGGTCATGAACCTGTAGGAAGTTCCTGAAAAATCCCTTTACAAAAATATACTTTACACAGGCCATTAATACCTTGATTTAAAATGTATTCACAGTTTTAAAAAGTTTCGAAGCATATATAGACATGAATAGCGTGAAGCACTAAATAGAATACCTTCTCCAGGCGTAAAAACAATAAGTATCGAGCGAGTGATGCCATGACCCTATGACCTCTATTATAAGAAACTCCTTAAAATGCTATTTTTAGTTAATATATTCATATCCAGGCCCACTGATTACAAAAAAGTCCCTTACCAAGATTTGCTAGAAGACTCTTTAGCATGGTGTATGTCTGTTCCACCGTGGACTTCCCAGCTGGCGATGCTGTCAGACCCAGAACCTTTGCCCTGGCATGCTCAGGAAGGCTACAATGGTAGGTGCTCATCAGTTTGTGGTAGGGATGGCCCTTGCCACAATGGTGAACCTCATCAAGTACCACCAGCGAGAAGTCCTCCCATCGTATCTGTTTCCGTTCTAGCATGTTGGCACAATATGCTGCAAAAGTAACAAGCTTATGCTGCAAAAGTAATCTTATGCTGCAAAAGTAACTATCTTATGCTGCAAAAGTAACAAGCTTATGCTGCAAAAGTAACAAGCTTATGCTGCAAAAGTAACAATCTTATGCTGCAAAAGTAACAATCTTATGCTGCAAAAGTAACAATTTTATGCTGCAAAAGTAACAATTTTATGCTGCAAAAGTAACAATTTTATGCTGCAAAAGTAACAATCTTATGCTGCAAAAGTAACAATCTTATGCTGCAAAAGTAACAATCTGCCATGTGTTGAGACTATACAGTTTAACAATGAGGATGCACACAATTATGATCATCAAGTGCCTTGCCGACTGTTGTGGTGTGGGATATCATGCCTGCGATCTTTAACAGTGTCTATCAGTTTGTGTGTTGAAATCCCTCCAGGCTATGACAAAAGGCTGTCAAGAATTTTCTCACGTTGTCTTTCTCTGTCTATTCTTCCAGGAGTCTTGCCAGTGGTCACAACATGTTCCTTTCATTCTTCTCATAATATGACCCCAAAAAAAACATTATGACTGTCTCTTTCTAATGTTTGCAATGTGTTGTCATCAAACCCTCAAATCTTCCAAGAAATTTAGGTTGCTCTGTTTGGCTGTCCTAAGAATTCTAAGGATTCTTCTGTAAAACCACATCTCTGAGGCCTCAAGAAATATTTAAACAATATACTGCACCATTTAATAATTTATTATAACTTATCTAGGGAGCAAGATGTCATCTACAGGAGATACCGCACCAGAAATACCATTTAGAATAGCACTGGCATCTAGTGCCTTCAATAAACTGTCTAACATCTGGAAATCAAAGACACTTAGCAAACACACAAAACTCAAGATCTTCAATTCTTGTGTGATTCCAGTACTAACCTATGGATGCGAGAGCTGGAAATCAACGAAAACTCTAGACACAAAATTAGACAGTTTTGAAAATAAATGCCTTAGAAGAATACTAAATTTCAAATGGTCAGATTTCCGAACAAATACACAAATAAGGCAAGAATCCAGGCAAGAGTATGTGTCTAATTTTATACGAAAACGCCGCTGGAACTATGTCGGCCACGCCCTTAGAATGGATAAATCAAGACTTCCTTACCAAGCCCTCATTTGGACACCACAGGGGAAAAGATCTCGTGGAAGACCAAGGGAAACCCTACGTAGAACTATCATCAGGGAAGGCTCGCTCATGGGCCACTCAAACATCCAAGACCTACAACGGATTGCAACGAACCGCCATGCATGGAGAGTCATGACCTCTGCCCTATGTGCCGCACTCGACACAAGAGGAAAGACTAACTAATTTAATAATTATGAATTAATCAAGTAACAGAAAGTATTGTGAACGGCACTCATAGAAAGAAGTAGAAAGATAGAATGCATTTTTTGTTTATTATTCAGGTGCCTTATTACAGAGTTTACATCAACACATAATGAAGCACAAAACAGGAACCCTTTCACTGGAATATTCAAACCACACTGTTTCTAGTTACATTAAACATTTCACTAATGTCATGATCCCTTACCCTTTTCAGGTTGTTTCCCCCCCCCCTCCCCCTTGAGTTACGGCAGAACCTCCTATGCTCCCCCCCCCATCCCCCTTAAGTATATGGCAAGACACCCACCCATCCTCAACATAACAAAATGTAATTAAAAAGAGGACAACAAATGCAACAACAAGGAAACAGAAAGTATGGACATACATTTTGGTCAGAATGTTTTCTTAATCTATAAATCCATGCGCACATTGTCACATTAATTCTATTTCAGCGGCAGATGTACAAACTGCTCATGAACACAAAAATAATCCCTGGCTGGAGACCACTGCACAAATGGAAGACTTTAGATTAACCAAGTGATTACCACACAAGACTCAGATTATTCACATGATCCTTTTGTTTATACAGTCAGTATAATCTCACTGGGCTAGGCCTGGCACTCAGCTCTCTCCTGTGGCTCTTAGCAGCTGTTAGCATGCGACAACAGCCACCACCCCCCCCCCCATCCCCCCCAGGCAACACCTTTGACGGGCTGGCTAAACTAGGAGAGGGTAGTCGATCTAGTTCTAAACCACTCAGTGAAAGAGAGATGTCTACCCTCCATGCAAAGTCTGGACTCCTCGGTGGCGGTGGATTGTGCCGATGGAACCTCATTCTGGTTCTACAGACAAAAAGGCAAAACTCAAGCTCTGGATCAAGAGCAGAATCCAACAGTGAATTAAAAATCAGAACTTTCTGCCGGAGTTTAGCAGTTGATAAACTCTAAGAGGAAAGAAAAAGAAAGAAGAAAAAAGAAGAAGAAAGAATAAGAAGAAAGAAGAAGAAGAAAGAAGAAGGAAGGAAGGAGGAGGAGGATGAGAAGAAGAAGAAGAGGAGGAGAAGAGGAGGAGAAGACGAGGAGGAGGAGGAGAAGAGGAGGAGGAGAAGAGGAGGGGGAGGAGGAGGAGAAGGAAAAAAAAAAAAAAAAAGAAGAATCCTTACCTGCAGTGGTTACGACGATGTCATGTTTCCAAACTGGAAGATCAGTTTTTGTGGTCATCCCACCACAGATTGGCTTGACCTGCAACTCACGGGTCACAGGTGGGCTCCCCAGGGGGCCATCTTGTCTGCAACCATTTTTAGTACAACAATAACACAGCATTAATTTCAATACAAGAGTAAACCCTGAAATGAACTTGTCATTTTATATTGTGTTTGTCACCTTTGAAAATGACTTTCCCCATAAGTGGCAGGGAGTTCAGAAGCAAAAATAAAATCCAATCCGGCACAGTCCATGGTGACAGCACCAGCCATGCAGCCTAAATCATCAGGCTCTAAAACCCTTCCTACACTGCAATAGTAGTTTTAAAAAAAAAGTTAGTTACGTATTCTTTATAGAAGGTAGCAGAACCAACCCCAGCATTTGTTGGCTGCAGTGGTTTTTTTAAGGCAAATTTTATGTTCACTAGTTTGCCAAACCTTCTGAACGGTCAGCTTTGGGTACCACTGTCGAAACTCTTCAGCCATGTAGCTCAGTGAAGTGTCGGGGGAAGATGTTACGCTCGTTGATGAGCTCTGCCAAGAGCACTATTAAGATTGATGTTATTTCTGTAAAGCTGTTCTTTATGCCATCAATTCATTTTACCGAGGTTTTCCCATAACTCTATACCCGTTGTAACGTTTCAGTGTGGCTCGGTGTGGGAGATAGTACCAGGGCATTCTTGTTAGGTGTCCAAACACTTCACTCATTGTTCTTTGATGACCTGTAGGACTGGCTTTATTCCTAGCATTCATTTGATTTCATATTCTGTCCTTCCTGAAACTCCTGCAGCTCTTCTAAGGCATTTCATCTCTGTTGTCACAATTCTACATTCATTAGAGGATGTAAGTGTCCACGTTTGGCACTGATAACATAGTGTTGGCCAAAAAATAGTTCTGATAAGGTTCATTTTAGCACTCCAGGGTATCAGCTTGTGTGTCAACAGGGGAGATAGTTGTCCTATTACTTGATTTGCTTTGGCACATCTCAATCTAATTTTGCTGTCCATTTTTCCATCAAATGTGAAAATGGCCCTCAAATACTTGAATTCCTCTGTATGTCTTAAAATGCTGTTTTTTTAATTTAATTTCTAAATTGTCTTTCTGTCTTCCAATCACCATTGTCTCTGTCTTTGTAGTGTTTATTCTCATATTATATTCCTCCCCTTTGTTACTAATTTGATTTAGGTGATTCTGTAGGCACTCCGTACATTTTGCTATGAGTACCTTGTCGTCGGCGAAAAGTATTTCTATAATTTCTTCTTCATGATTAAAGTTTGTTTCTTTACGCATAGCATCCATGCATGTGATTTTTAAAAAAGTGGTGATAGTACACAGCTCTGACACAGACCAGAGGTCACAATAAATATTCTTGACAATCCTGCCTTCAATCTTATACAGCATTTACTACGTGTGTACAGGCTTTTGCAAATAATGAGATAATTGCTGATTCCCTTTTCCCCCATACATTCCCAGAACATATTCCTGTCGACTCTACTGAAAGCTTTTTACTAGTCTATGAATGTCAACAAACATGTCTTATCATGTTCTATTGCTCTCTCTGATAGCTGTTTTAATGAATAAATGGCATCTGTGAAATTGTTTTGAAATCCCATCTGTGCTTTTAAAAACTGGTATTCTTCGCTGGTCTTAGCCTTCTTTTCATAATCTTAGCATACATTTTTCCAGCGTGACTGAGGAGCAATATCCCTCTGTAATTAGCACAGTTCCTCTTACTTCTTTTATCTTTCCATAGTGGGAGGATGACAGCAGTTTGCCAGCGGGAAGATGACACTAGTTTGCCAGTGGGACGATGACAGCAGTTTGCCAGTCTGATGGTGTTTTTTGATTTTCCCATGCCACTTGGAATATTCTCTTCACACATATTGCTCCCGCTTCTCCTGCTGCCTTGATGGCCTTAGCTGGTAGATCGATACCTGTCGCCTTTAGTCTAGGGGCGGTATGAATGACATATTCTACTTCATCTAACAATTTACCTGGTTCTAGTTTCTCTGCCGTTAGTTCCGAGTTGTTTTTATGTTCTTCCCTGCTTTCATCTGTTTTATTGCAGCTAATTAATGATTCAAAGTAATTACTCCACCTTGCTAAAATTTTGTTAGTTGGCCTTCTTCATCATTTGTAAATTCTGTTGGGTTGTATTCTTCATTTCTATTTCTTATGCCTTTGACTTTTTTGTAGTATTTTTTCACTGCTGTTCTTACTTCTTCAGCCCGCTTGCTTCCAAACTTTTCCCATGAATTTCTTTTAGCATGTCTGATAGTTCTTTTTACTTCTCTTTTAACTATTCTATGTAATCCTCTTCAGTTGTGCTCTCTAGCCAAATGCCATAGGCTTTCTTTTTATTGCTCATAATTCTTCTTATTTTCTCAGATCATCATGTTGAGTACTTATACCCTATGTTACCTTTCCTTTTATTTCCACACATTTCTTGTGCTATTTTCATAGTGGTGTTCCTTAAATTCACCCATTCTGTATTTACCCCAAGTGTTTGTGTGTGTGGAAGCTGTTCATAATTTTCCTGTCATTTTTGCATAAATACTCTAATTCCCTCTGACTCTAGTTCTGTCAATTTAATTGTGTCACTTTTATGACATTTCTTTCTTGTTTGATAACTTATCTTGACTTTTCTGTCAAGTACCACCATCCTATGATCTGTATCTAAACTCAAGTTTGGTATAACTCTCGAATCTGTAACTTCACGAAAGTTTCTTTTTCTCGTTAATATGTATCAATCTGACTCTTAGTATCTGGATCATATTATATTATACCATGTAACAACCTTTGAAGCTCCATGCTGGAAAAAAAAAACAACAACAACAGGTGTTGGTAATAACAAGAGCATGATGTGCACATACATCTAACAGTCTTTGGCCATTCTTATTTCTAATGCTCTTGTCTCCATTTTTGCATATGTATCTTGTTAATATTCTTTTGTCTTCGTAATGTTTCACCATTAAAATCACCCATAATGATCAGCTTCTCAGTGGTATATATATATCTTACAGAAAAAACCTCCAAACTATGTCCTACTTGTAATTTCAAGCTGATAATTCTTTCCAAAATATAGTTAATCTCAAGCATTTTTTGTGTAGTTTTGGGTGTGATGATAAAACCTACTCCATGCTTTGCTATATTGTATTTCCTCTACTGCCGATTGAATCAAAACGTATTTTATGTGTAGTTTCTTCATTCTTCCTCCTTTAATTCTCACCTGTGATAAGCCTAATACTTTAACGTTCTATCTCTCCAGTAATTATATCACTTGTTCTACTTTATTGCCCCATCCACATCTACTGATTGTCTCTACCATAGTCTTAACCTTCTGCTGGCCTCTATGTTCCCTACTTCTAAAACATCTCTTGTTTTCACCTTAAAAATTTCTTTTTGAACGACTGTATACTCCGCCGACTTGCCGGGCCTTTCAGAATTCATCTTCAACTGAACACTTACACTAAACTAGCATACCTAACATACATTCCAGGAATAAACACATCTTTCTGTCACATTTTTTTGGGTGAAAGTTGCTTACGCCGTTTCTATTGAAATAATGCAAGATAAATCGCGGCACTATGAAGCGCATTCGCAATGCCTAATCAACAGCACTGATAAAGGTGTGTATATACAGGCATTTATGACCATTTTTTGGGGGCTGATAAGGAGTTTTTTTGAAAACTGAAGACAAACTATATAATCCTACCAAAAAATCCTGAAAACTTGATACAAGCTAACCAACATACGAAGATATCAATTTCTGTGTTTTCTGTGGGGAAAGGGAGGGGGAAAATAACACATATATCCTAAATGAGAACAGGAGCAAACAAGGATGTCTTGTGTATCTTTTTTTTCTTATGGTCTGATAATACACAGGCACTTCTTAACCAGTGAGTCTTGTTTTCTTCTCCTGTCACTTGGTTTAGGTTTAGTTCTGCATGACATACTTGCTTTCACACTGCCTTCTATTACTCTCGTTCCATATAAATACTTTTAAAACTTGTTGCCACTTCTTCTTCTTCTTCTGCGTTCGACATCAGTCATACTAAACATTGAGTCCCTTCTAGGTCACAAACAGGATTGTGCGTTTAAGGTCACCACTGGTCCCCCTTAGCTTCTCTTGCAATGTGACTCCCTTAGGCCAGATGTTGCCACTGATTAGTGTCTTTTCATAGCACCTGTATTTTTGCATTATCATCACCAACTCCTGTCACTGTTTTGGGAGCTCTTCTATCCCTATCTTTTAGTATCTTAAACTGTGACCAGACAATTTTGATTTCTGTAGATCTAGACATTTCCTGTGTGGGTTCTGCGGTCCTTTTTTCTGGGGGTGGGGTGAGAGAATAGACACACTGCAACCTTCCAGTAAGTATGTTGTAAAAGACGACCAATGTGGGAATTTTAGAAATTGAATTTTTTGGTTCCGAAAGGCATAGATACTGCAGCCCTGCTGCAAACCACATTACAACAGGCCAACAAGCCTTTTAAGGCGAACACAGAAGAAAAAGAATTAAGAAGTAAATTCAAGATTTTATTTACTGAACCAAGGGGATGGTGCAGATTTTGGAGGTCACCCATCAACCTACACTGAGCATCATTCACAATGGCTGTAATCCTACTGAAACCTGATTACAAAACAAACTCACAGCAACTAACCTTTTAAACAGTGTCCCAGCAAAATGTCTGATGATATACTGCGCCTGCTGCATCACCAACAACACTTTGTCCACAAGGAAGAGAACTGGGCGAGATGGGTTATCCTGAAGCATCAGGCCCATTGTTAGAACTGCCACCAGTGTTTTCCCAGTACCTGGTCACAGAAAGACTTGTAGTTATGACAGAAATGACAGTATATTACTCCGATGCTTTGTGTGATTACAAGTGAAAGAGTCCTATTATCATGGTATGAGCTGTTAAGAAAAATTACTACATACATCATCTGACCAATACGGATATTGTGTCGAAGGCTCTCTTTTTTTTCTTCTTATTTGTTCACCGGCTGTAAGCTCCGGCGGAAAGTTCTGGCTGTTCGTCAGTTTGGCTTTGTGCCAGGGTCTGAGTTTTGCATGTACATCTGTTTTACCTGGTTTATTTATGGGCAGTTGGCTCTTCCTTGCCGCTCGGGCAGATGCACTCCGACTTTGAAGAAAGTCCCCAATTAGTTGACTCCTACGGGCAGATGCACTCCGACTTTGAAGGAAGTCCCCAATTAGTTGACTCATACAACACGCCTAAAGGAAGTCCCCAGTTAGTTGACTCCTACAACATGCCTAAAGGAAGTCCCCAATTAGTTGACTCCTACAATTATTGATTCACAACATGCCTAAAGGAAATTAGTTGTCCTACCAAAAAAAGTAGTTGACTCCTACAACATGCCTAAGGAAGTCCCCAATTAGTTGACTCCTACAACGTGCCTAAAGGAAGTCCCCAATTAGTTGACTCCTACAAACATGCCTAAAGGAAGTCCCCAATTAGTTGACTCCTACAACATGCCTCCTAAAGGAAGTCCCCCAATTATTTTACTCCTACAACGTGCCTAAAGGAAAGTCCCCAATTAGTTGACTCCTACAACGTGCCTAAAGAAGTCCCCAATTAGTTGACTCCTACAACTGCCTAAAGGAAGTCCCCAATTAGTTGACTCCTACAACATGCCTAAATGCCTAAAGAAGTCCCCAATTAGTTGACTCCTACAACATGCCTAAAAAATAGTCCTCAATTATTTGACTCCTACAACATGCCTAAAGAAAGTTCCCAATTAGTTGACTCCTACAACATGCCTAAAGAAGTCCCCAATTAGTTGACTCCTACAACATGCCTAAAGGAAGTCCCCAATTAGTTTTGATTCCTACAACCTTAATTGGCGGCAACATGCCTATTGGGGAGACTCCTACAACATTGCAGTGGGTCTATTCACAACGGGGCCATAGAACCTACACCCTAGAGAATGTTTTCCAAGAGCCTATTGGGGAGGCAAAAACACGGTGCCCATGAGGCAAAACACATCAACACACATCTGAACATGCAAATCACATCAACGATCTGGCAAAACTGCAATGCTGCCTCCTCAGAAGATGATAAGTAACCAGCACTTTTGTTTACACAGTGAGTGGTGCGTGGTTACGTATGCAGCATCGACCAAAGAGTAAACATTTAATTATGTTAACTCGAAAAAAATGTCTCTGAGACAGTTAAGTTAATAAGATACGCTTTTGGGGTTCAATGTTCAATCTTGCGCAACAAAAAATATGAAGATGGTATTAACGATTTAAAAACTGGTGTGGAAACAAAGATGAAGATAGGCCAGGGTGCCCAATTAATGTTGGTAATGATGCCAAAGTAAGAACAGATATAAAAACGACAGATACCCGACAAAGTATAATTGCATACAAATGCGATGTTAACTCAGCAATGATAATTAAAATTTTCAACTTAACTGGCAGGCAGATGAACTAACCACAATGTTAACTCCAGCGGAAAGTTTTTGATTTGTTTACACACATCTGGTCTTATTCCAGAACTTAAATTCTTTGTGCATATCCATTTTACAGATGTGGCTTGCTTGTGTGCAGATTGTTGATTACTTATTATCTGGAAAAACAACCCAGGTGCATTCCCAGTAATTTACCCCAATATGACATCACAGAACAGTCCAATATTGTCGAGGAAGGTCAGAGTGGGCTTGGCCCGAGTGGCCTCTCTCTAGCGAGACTTGTGTTTGCAGCGATCATATGTTGCAGCAGCCTGTTCTCTCCAGCGACTTGTGTGTTCAGTCTTCATCGCCATGAATTTCCTGGAATTTACATCATCTCTGCCTGTCGAGGGAAGAAATGTTGCCTTTCTGCAGTATTCTGCATAGTGCCAGATGTTGTGGCAATAATCATGCGATGCCTGTTAATTGCCGATAGTGGTTGTCAAAAGTTGACCCGTCATCTCAACATACCGTTATGGCAAGGGACATGGTCTGTCTTACAGATGGATCATTCTGCTTCTATACTACTGGTTCTCACAAAGTTGACAAGCCATGAATTTTGCCACTTTTGAGCTGGGCATGTCAAAGAATACAAACTNGTGCCTAAAGGAAGTCCCCAATTAGTTGACTCCTACAACATGCCTAAAGGAAGTCCCCAATTAGTTGACTCCTACAACATGCCTAAAGGAAGTCCCCAATTAGTTGACTCCTACAACATGCCTAAAGGAAGTCCCCAATTAGTTGACTCCTACAACATGCCTAAAGGAAGTCCCCAATTATTTTACTCCTACAACGTGCCTAAAGGAAGTCCCCAATTAGTTGACTCCTACAACGTGCCTAAAGGAAGTCCCCAATTAGTTGACTCCTACAACGTGCCTAAAGGAAGTCCCCAATTAGTTGACTCCTACAACATGCCTAAAGGAAGTCCCCAATTAGTTGACTCCTACAACATGCCTAAAAATAGTCCTCAATTATTTGACTCCTACAACATGCCTAAAGAAAGTTCCCAATTAGTTGACTCCTACAACATGCCTAAAGAAAGTCCCCAATTAGTTGACTCCTACAACATGCCTAAAGGAAGTCCCCAATTAGTTGATTCCTACAACGTGCCTATTGGGGAGGCAGTGGGTCTATTCACAACGGGGCCATAGAACCTACACCTAGAGAATGTCCAAGACAAAAACGGTGCCCATGAGGCAAAACACATCATCTGAACATGCAAATCACATCAACGATCTGGCAAAACTGCAATGCTGCCTCCTCAGAAGATGATAAGTAACCAGCACTTTTGTTTACACAGTGAGTGGTGCGTGGTTACGTATGCAGCATCGACCAAAGAGTAAACATTTAATTATGTTAACTCGAAAAAAATGTCTCTGAGACAGTTAAGTTAATAAGATACGCTTTTGGGGTTCAATGTTCAATCTTGCGCAACAAAAATATGAAGATGGTATTAACGATTTAAAACTGGTGTGGAAACAAAGATGAAGATAGGCCAGGGTGCCCAATTAATGTTGGTAATGATGCCAAAGTAAGAACAGATATAAAACGACAGATACCCGACAAAGTATAATTGCATACAAATGCGATGTTAACTCAGCAATGATAATTAAAATTTTCAACTTAACTGGCAGGCAGATGAACTAACCACAATGTTAACTCCAGCGGAAAGTTTTGATTGTTTACACACATCTGGTCTTATTCCAGAACTTAAATTCTTTGTGCATATCCATTTTACAGATGTGGCTTGCTTGTGTGCAGATTGTTGATTACTTATTATCTGGAAAAACAACCCAGGGTGCATTCCCAGTAATTTACCCCAATATGACATCACAGAACAGTCCAATATTGTCGAGGAAGGTCAGAGTGGGCTTGGCCCGAGTGGCCTCTCTCTAGCGAGACTTGTGTTTGCAGCGACTTATGTTGCAGCAGCCTGTCTCTCCAGCGACTTGTGTGTTCAGTCTTCATCGCCATGAATTTCCTGGAATTTACATCATCTCTGCCTGTCGAGGGAAGAAATGTTGCCTTTCTGCAGTATTCTGCATAGTGCCAGATGTTGTGGCAATAATCATGCGATGCTGTTAATTGCCGATAGTGGTGTCAAAAGTTGACCCGTCATCTCAACATACCGTTATGGCAAGGGACATGGCTGTCTTACAGATGGATCATTCTGCTTCTATACTACTGGTCTCACAAGTTGACAAGCATTGAATTTTGCCACTTTGAGCTGGGCATGTCAAAGAATACAACTGTGGAGTGTAGCAACTACATACAGGAGGTTTGTGCTAATACATTTTTGTTGAATCCTGCAGTGATCCACGGAGAGAATGATACTATTAAAATTGATGAAAGTCAGTCTGCAAGGCAGACAAATCATGTGGAACGAGTGTTTCCACAACAGTGGATACTTGGTGGCATCTGTTGTGAAATAGGTGAATGCTTTATGTTCTGCGTTCCAGACAGAAAAGCAGAGACGCTTTTGCCGGTCATTAGCCCAAACGTAAAAAACTGGCACGACAGTAGTCTCCGACCTGTGGCGTGCATACACTGAACTGAGAATATCCCTGGATTGACGCATCAGGCCGTCAATCACTTCATCCATTTTGTCAACCCCACCACAGGTGCACATACATACACAATGCAATGAGCACATATGAAGGTTGGCAAAGGAAAGAAACAAGCGGCAGAATAGGACTCAGACATTTACTAGACTCCTACATGTGCTAGTTTATGTGGCATCAACATGTGGGTCACGACATGTTTTCGACCATTCTGTCAGACATTTTGCATTCTGGACACCAGAACAATAGTCTGTCGTCTCTGCCGCTGCTGCCGGCACAACAGCAGGGGCTGCATTCCGACCTCTTTCCAGATCTACTAACATGTAAAATTGTTCTGATTGTCAATTTGGTTCTTTTTAGGGCCACCCCCCACAGTAGCCCAAATGCACATATAGTTTCTCAGATTGCACAGTTTCACATACACAAATTGCCAAACAGCATACTCCTACCCAACGAGAAAAAAAAATAACTTTTCGCCAACTGCTGGGGATACTGAGTGTTCTATATTCCATGATGTGAGTGCTTTTAATGATCCCAAAACATCAATAACTGGCCCTAACCCAAACCCCTGCCTAGGACCCACAACTGTATGCAACCTAGGACCTACAATTGGCCCTAACCCAAACCCCTGCCTAGGACCCACAACTGTATGCAGCCTAAGAGCTACAATTCGCCCTAACCCAAACCCCAGCCTAGGACCCATGACTGTATGCAACCTAGGACCTACAATTGGCCCTAACCCAAACCCCAGCCTAGGACCCATGACTGTATGCAACCTAGGACCTACAATTGGCCCTAACCCAAACCCCAGCCTAGGACCCATGACTGTATGCAACCTAGGACCTACAATTGGCCCTAACCCAAAGCCCAGCCTAGGACCCATGATTGTATACAGCCTAGGTTCTCCTCCCAAGCAAACAAACAAGAAAGCACCAACAGGCCCTAACCTAAACCCCACGACTGTATGCAGCCTAGGTCCACCTCCCCAGCAAAACAAACAAGATAACACCCATAAAAACTGCATCCTCCCTATTGCACCAAAACACAGAAAAATGCACACCAATAAATAGCATAAGAAGTTCACAAAACTGACAACTACACAACACAAAACTGCACAGCAAATGAAATGCCTTTATACACCACCCCCTGAAATATTAGACTGTCTAGTCAGCTGTGGATTTTCCGTGTTTGGGGTGACTTTCTGGGAATGTACCCAACCCTGGATGGGAACTCTTCATTGGCTGCTGAAGAATTAAATAGATTACTTGCGAGAATGTCCAGAGGGCAGTGATACCAGTTTATTTTAATTCATTCAACTATAACAACAAAAGTACTCCTTACCACAATATACTGCCATGGCAAAATAAAATGTAACCCTTAATCTCGCATTGAATGTAATAAGGTCAAAAGCATTAGTCAAAGAAATCAACAACAAATACCTGTAGGCAAATATATAATGCAGTCTCCTTTCATAGCCTTTAGGACAAGTTCAATCTGATAGACCCTGGGTTGGATATTGAGTTGTTTACTGATGATATCCCACACTCTTGACAGTACATCTCCCTCATCCCTGTTTATCTTGCAAATCGGCTCAAGCTTGCGAACCGGAGCTGGGCAACTGGACAACATGTAGATATGGTACTTTCCCTGGGCGTGTGTTTCGTAGGCCTCTCTGGTGTTCATATGCTTGTTACAGATGGGACAGTAGTAGCGAAAACCAGGCTTGCCACTCCTCATTGGTTCTGCTGGAGGTGTGGGTACTTCAGGTGGCACCTCTTCAATAATATTTAAATCATCTCTATTCTCCTCTTCATACCCATTGTCAAAATCATCGTCAAATTCCTTTTTGTCTAAGGATAACACACCATTTCTTAATCTTTCGTTTCCGCGGCCTCGACTTTTAGATGGCCTAGGTTTCATGATGACATTACCAAGATTGTCAGGATTTGAGAAACTGTCATCTCCAGATGCAGAATTCAAGTGATTCTGTCCTGAATCGAGGTCATCTTCAGTGTTATCGTCTAAAGAGAAACCTGTGGCCCCCTGATTAATGGACCCACTATACTGAGGATTTGAGATGGGAGTACCCGACCCACTAGAATGAGGATCTGAGAAATGTGTACCCGCACCACTGTACGACTGAGAACGTCCACCAGAAGAGTTTGCCAAGATAGCTCCACCCCTCATTTGTGGAGTTGGTGTAAAACCCAAACCAGCATTGTGCCCGCCGTCAGCTCGGAGAGACTGCCAAAAGTCGTCATATATTTGTGAGTTAGCAGAACTGGCTTCTGCCGATGTAGGTTGTGCTGGCTCTTTGGAATGATCTGATGAAACAGAACCTAGACCTGTCTGCCTATGCTGACCCTGGCTCCTGCCATCAGCGTTACTTTTAGAACCTGAAGTCTGATTTAAGGCCGATGATGAGTTGGACACAGCACCTCTTTCTAGGTATCCTTTACTGACTGAAGCCATGCTACTGTTAATCAAAGCATGAGGTTGTTCTGTTGTAACTGCAACAAATAATTTTAGAAACAATTACAACAAAGAAAATCAATGTTTCCTCTTGGTTATAGTTCAGGAAAGAAAATGCTGTTTTATAAGCCACTGTGATTACTGTGAGCAAGATTTTTCTACAATTTTGAATGGCTAAATCTATTCTGGAACTCCATATAAACATCAAAAGCAGAAGTGGTTGCATGTGACCAGGTATCCTTCCCCGGCCGGTAACTGCCCTGACCACTTGGCAGGAGTTCTTTTCTTTGTGATACTTTTCCCACTTCAACAGCAGTAATCTTCTCTAGCAATGTATTTTGTAGAGAGATATTTTCGTGAAATCATCAAGTCTTGAGTGATATTTTACCACATAATATGACATAAATTAGTGACAAATACCACACACATAAGTCATAAATATATAATAAATGGACTACGCGCGACATGCAGTAAATACAACACGAAGATCACTGCAAACAAAACCAAAACAATGCAAAGCAGTAGGATCCATGGTCCAATAGCTAGAGCGCTGAATGGTTCTGGTTTGAAACAAGCTTGGGAATTGTGGTCAAAGAAGACGGCAGAATTGACAGAGAAACAGAAACCAGATGTCAAAAAGCAAGTGCGCTTATATACTTTTAGACAAGTGCCACCATTATTAAGACATCCACTTATATACTTTTAGGCAGCTGCCACCATTATTAAGACATCATAACATAACTATGAGTGCAGAGAAACTATTTATACAGCAAATTCGTTGTTGTTATCGATCCAGCGGCGCATGAGCTTTCGCCCTTTGGCCCAATGCCATGTAGTGGAATTTGCATGTTTTCACAAGCTGTTCTTTTCCTCCGTACAAGGTGTTCCACTTGTCTGGTCTCGGAGAGAGTAGCGTTCTTCTTGTCTCACTGAGTTTTGGGCACTCAAAGAGATGGTGTTCAACAGTTTCGTAGGGGTAGTTACATAGCTGGCACTCTGGGGAGTGTTGTGGCTGTATTCTGTTTAGGTGTCCATTGAGTGGAGTATGTTGCGTTCTAAGTCTGAAGATGATGGCCTGGTCCCTTCTTGTTAGATGGTTAATGCTGTCATTAGGATCAGGGCCAGACATATGTCTATAAACCTCTCTTCCAGTGTCTCCCATGGCCCATCTGTTCAACCAAGTCTCTTTGTTTATAGCTCTTATCAGTGTTTTTGCTGTCTGGAGGGTTGTCGCTGTAGGTGGTTGTTCTTGTGTTGCTCCTTTCTTTGCCAATCTGTCAGCTCTGTCATTACCTGGTGTGCCGGAGTGACCTGGAATCCACTGCATCACTATTCTAATGTTGTATGAGGTAATAAGCTGATCAGCATCCAGTATTATCTTGGCTATGTCAGTTCTGCAGCGTTTACTGCCCTCCAGAGCTTGAAGGGCAGACATTGAATCTGTGAAGATGACAATATTTTGGACCTTTGAAGGGTAAACATCCATTACAGTCTTTAGGTGGTATACTGCTGTTTCCAGTGCAATTATTTCAGCTTCATAGTTTGAACAGAATTCCCCGCATGCATCAAAAATCTCTTCAACAGATCCATCGGGATAACCTATGTAGATTCCGTAACCTGCTTTAATGGTAGCTTTAAATGCTGATCCATCAGTATAGACATGTATCCATTCTTGGGGGTAAGAATCAACGGTCTTTAGTGATGAGTTCATAAGAGCGATTGGGTCGGACTGTTTGGTTTCCTCGCCTACCAATTTAGTTCTGACTTCTGGAGCTTTAAAGCGAGCATGTGGTGGTAGGTTTCTTGCAACATTCTGAATTCCTTGACGTCTTTCTGGGAGGTGGTATCTGTCCTGAATTTCATTAACACAGTGTAAAACCGATTTGTGCTTTATTCTTTGTTTGGATTCCCAGTTTTCTACAAGATGTCTATTAGGATGGTTACGATTTTTCCTAACGCATCTTTCATAAATTTCTAAAGTGGCTTTTTCTCTCCGCAACCCGAGGGGTTCCACATTTGTATGGATTTCACATGCAGCAGTTGGTGTAGACTGCATAGATTAATCGGAGGGCATTATTTTGTACTCTGTCAAGAGTCTCTAGGTTAGTTTTGGAGCAAGTTGTAAGCAGTGAGTTGTTGTACTCTATCACAGAGCGAACATATCCTAGATATAAGCCCCTCAGAGTTTCCTTGTCTGATCCCCATGATGTACCTGCAAGTCTCTTTAATAACTGTAACCGCCTCAATGCCTTATTCCTGATGTTTTCAATATGGTTCTTGAGGCTGAGCTGCCGGTCAAGTGTGACTCCAAGGTATGTGGAATGCTCTTCTTTCATCACTTGGTGTTTGTCTAACCTCAGGTTAATATTCTTCCTTGCTACATGGTGGCTTTTGGTAAAGATTGTGTAGACCGTCTTTGCACAGTTAACCTTGAGTTTCCATCTTTGGCAGTACTCATGCAGTCTTCTAAGGTCTCCATTCAATCTTTGGGCTCCACTTTCCACATTTTCATGACTCTGCCATATTGCTAGGTCATCAGCGTACAAAGCTTTTTCGGCCTTGATTTGTTCTGGCAGGTCATTGATAAAGATTAGGAATAGTGTACAGCTCAATGATGAGCCTTGTGGCAAGCCCTCCTCCAAGACTTCTTTAGAAGAGATTGCGTTGTGCATCTTAGTCTGGATTGTTCTATCTATCAGGAAGTATTTCACCCAGTTATACAATCTGCCATGTATTCCTATGCTCATCATCTTCATCAGGAGACCTTTTCTCCATACTCTGTCATAGGCCTGCTGGAGGTCGACAAAGACTGCCACTGTGTGTTTCTTATTCTGGAAGCCATCATGTATTCTTTGTGTCAGTCTGAACAGCTGGTCTTCTGTGCAGCTGTTGGTTCTGAAGCCTGCCTGTTCATGGCATAGAACACCAGAACTCTCAAGGAACCAATATAAGCGCCTGTTTATCATTCTTTCTGCAACTTTGCCCAAGCATGATGTTAAGGATATCGGGCGGTAGCTTTTGGGGTCATCTGGAGGCTTTTTGGTTTTAAGAATGGGGACGATATATGCATTCCTCCATGCCTTTGGAAGTTTGCTTGACCTCCAAGTTTTATTAATAAGCCTGAGAACTACTTCTCTCCCAGACCGGCCAAGATGTAGCAGCATTTCGTTGTGGATCTTATCCGGGCCTGGAGATTTTCTAGGTTTTAATTTCTTCAGGGCTTGCTCTAATTCATCCAGCAAATTCGTTCCAACATATCAGATACCAGTGCCAAACATGGACTTTATCTAAAGCCCATGTAGGCAAAATCACCAGCTGCGAGATGAGATGTCTGAGAAAAGCCGCCAACCTAACCATCTAAGCTCGGATGAATATACTGTCAGACAAACTGTGGGAATGACACCTTGTACTAGATTCATCGAGAAACAACAGATCAAGTGGTTTGGCCATCTCGTTAGCAACATTAAATACCATCACTGGCACTACATCTCAGAACATCAGCAACAAGATTTTAAAAAACGGTTATGAAAAATATGGACTGACAACATGAAAGACACTGTACACTTATATGGCATGACAACAGCTAGTGCCAGCCAGCATACACTGGATGGCAAATTATTCCTCCCGATGAAGTGGTTTATGATGATGATGATGATGATCCTAAATCACTTTTTAAAACACATTTATCAAAGGATAGTGGGCCTACTACTAGTGCCCCTCCCCCCTCACATTAATACAACATACATCACCGATAAATATAGTACTGTAAGCAATAAAAAAAAAACGAATCCCACAATAAAACACAAGGAATAGACCCACTGTGTCCCAACAGGCATGTCATATAAAGTTTCTAAATAGGAGTTTACTGAAATTGTATGTGTTGAGCCGAATGTATTGCAGATTAGCTGCAAATCATAATAAAACACCAACTGCTCTCTTGAGGGCAAACTAAGAAAATGTTAGTGAAAATATAACATTCTCTTTGCAGGTTGGCTTCGTAATTTAACTTTAGAAGGGGCAGTGACCTCTACATTTTTTTAAATTAAATCTGTAACGGCCGAGCAATTATTAACATGTGCTCTGTGCAGGAAACCCTCTAGTTTATGGCCATTATCATTGCAGAATAGATATGTGTGACTCACTACCTCAGGATCAGAAGGAACTCTTCACGTTCCTTAGAGAATTATCAACACACACAAAAAGATTGAAATGTTACATGCATGTGAAGAACTGATTACTGACCTGAACTTGTAATTTCTGACATATTCTTGATGGACAATTGCGGACCCAAACCAGAAACCATGGGACTGTACCGGTTGACTGGCAGTTGACCCGAAGAAGAAATTCTGGGAATGTCCCGTCCGATCAATGGTTGACCTGAATTAGAAATTATGGGAATGTCCTGACCGACCAAGGGTTGATTTAAACTAGCAACACCTGCAGGATTGTCCCAGCCGGTTTGTGGTTGCTCAGAGTCAGCAATTTTAGAAATTTCCCGACTGACGACTGGGGCTTGCGAATACATCAGATAATGGCGATTTTCATCCAACACTTTCTGCCTGTTGGCCCCACCTTGAATCTGTTGATCTTCAAATTTGGCTTGTGAGTATCTAAGAGCAGCAGTGTCCAGCTCCTCTTGAACTGTTTCCACACTCGAAGCTCTAGAACTGCTTGTACAGCTGGATGTTTTGTAGATGTAATTTGACGGATCCTGCAACACTGCATTGTTTATAAATTCAACAGGGCCATTTTCAGAAAATGAAATTCTATTCTTAGAATTTTCACATTCTCTTTTGTGTTTTAAAGACTCTTTGTGAAATAAAAATTGTTCTCTTGAGTTCATGGCCACTTTACAAAGATCACACACATGCCAAACTTGGCCATCTTTCATGACAACTCGCCCTTCATCTACAACTGTCAAAACTTTAACTGATTCATTCAAAACTTCAGCCTTAATTTTATGGTTGGCAGAAGTGAAATGCTGCTGTGCACTTTCCTGGCCTGTAAAGATCTTACTGCAAATCTGGCAATTTAAAGGATATGCAATTCCATTTTGAGTCCTGTTAAATCTTTCTTTTGTACGCTTATGTGGTTTCCCAGAAATGTGTTGTTGTGCATGCTGAAAGGAAGTTAATTCAATGTTGCAGACATGGCAAAAACCTCGGTCACCGTTAAAATAATAAGAGCTGTCTTCAGTAGGATGTTGGACTTGCTGTTCTGGAAGGGCCTGGGTTTGCGGAGATGGTTCATTTTTAAGTGCTGATGTCAACTCCCATTGCTCTGACCTCTTCTTATGCCTCTGGCCATATAAGTGTTGGTTTGCATGCTGAACAGATGTCAGCTCCACAGTACAGCAATAGCAGTAGCCTTTAGAACCATCAAAGTAATATGGTGCGGATTTGTTGGAAGCAAGATTTGCTAAATTGCCATTTGGAGGTGAAAACTGCTGGGTCGGTGCCGGGGTTTGCTGAGATGGTCCATTCTGAAGTGCCGATGTCAATTCCCATTGCTCCGACCTCTTTTTATGTTTCTGGCCGTGTAGATGTTGATTTGCATGCTGAAGAGATGTTAGTTCAATAGAACAACAATAGCAGTAACCACTAGAACCATCAAAGTAATAATGTGCGGATTTGTTAGAAGTTGTATCTGTCAGACTGCTATTTGGAAGTGGAGATTGATGGGACAGAAAGGACGCTACATTCAACATCTTGTTTAGAGTTTGATGTTGGTGTGATGAGCTTGAGTTAGAATTATTTGAAGTCTGCTGTAAGTCTGATGAGCTTGGGTGAGGATTGAAGTCTTGCTGGAAAGTTCTATTTGAAGTCTGCTGTAAGTCTGACGAGCTTGGGTGAGGATTAAAGTGTTGCTGGGAAGTTCTGTTTGAAGCCTGCTGTAAGTCTGATGAGCTTGGGTGAGGATTAAATGGAGTTTGCTGAAAGTCTGATGGGCTTGAGTGTGGATCTGGGTGTTGATTGGACAGTGAAGATGTTACATTCAACATCAACTTATTTACGGTTTGTTGTTGGTTTGATGGGCTTGAATGAGGATCCTCTGGAGTTTGCTCTAGATCTGATGAGCCTGAATGAGGGTCAGAATGTTGGGAATTGAGAGGTATTTCATCAGGTTGTATCGACGGATCCCATTTGTCACTCAAAAGAGAGAGCTCCTGGAAATCTGGCATGACCCCAGTCAATGATCCTGTATCTGGAGCTGACAGCAAAGATGATCTTGCACCTGTATCAGAGTTCTGATTTGATGATCCTGCACCTATATCAGAGTTCTGATAGGACAATCTGGCACCTGTATCAGAGTTCTGATGGGACAATCTGGCACCTGTATCAGAGTTCTGACGGGATGATCTTGCATCTGTTTCAGAGTCCTGATGGGACAATCCTGCACCTATATCAGAGTTCTGATGGGATGAACTAGCATCTGTATCAGAGTTCTGATGGGATGATCTTGCACTTGTATCAGAGTTCTGATGGGATGATCTTGCACTTGTATCAGAGTTCTGATGGGATGATCGCTGAATTTCATCACTCAGAGACATGAGATCAGTCTGATGCTTCCTATATCCTGAAGCAGTCACTCCTGTAACCTGTTCATAATTTTCAACTTTAATATTTGCAGAGGAATTTTCAAATGTCTTCTTTGTAACGCTCACATCTGAAGGTTGCAGGCTGTTTTCTGTTATACTTACACCAGCATTCTCATGCTCATCGTAATCAGAGTGCACTTCTATTTCTTTGTATGTAACTTTCAATGGTTCCTCCTGTTGGCTGATCAGATTGCCAGATTGAAGAATATCTTTGCTGTTTGTAGAGAAGCCTTGTACATGAGTTTCTTCTTTAATCATCACATTGGCATCTGTTTTCCTTAGGGCAGCAGCTTCTGTATTGGACTCCGAGACAACAGTGTTTGGGGATGAGAAACTCTGTGTGGTTTCACATTCAAAAGATTCAGACTGTGCTCGATTGATTTCTACCATATCATTACGGGTACTAAGTTGGCTCTCAGTATTCGAATATTCTTCCTCTGAAACATTAGAGTATGTAACAGAAGGCAGTGAACGTGTACTTAGGTGAGTAAATGTCCCTGTAGAATTCAACATGCTATTGTTAAAAGTACCAAGTTCCTTTTTAACCTCAGACCAAAAGCTCAATTCTGGATTACTGTGTGCAGTTTCATTATCAACCTGAGGCTGAACTGCTTTCTCTGTCTCCGGTTGTTTGGGATTAAATAATCCTCGACTGGACCAATCCATGACTTTTTTCACATGTTTTCTGCCAAGGATGTGTTGTGTGCAAAGTTGTGGCGATGTCAGCTCCACATTGCATACATAGCAGACGCCCCTGTCACCCCACATAACATAAGGTTTGGTGTAAGCTCCTACCTGTGGGTTTCTGACCAGCAGTTCAGCATTTTCAAACACAGGATCTGTGCTGGTACCATGTGAATTACCTTGCGTAGCTGTTACTGGAAACGCTGGCTGGTATACTTTCATCACCAGTGTCTGTTCAGGATCAAAATGTTCTTGTAATTTTGCAGTGAAAAATTCCTTTTCCTTTTTCAAGTGCTCCTTATCCTGGATATGTTCTCTGAAATGCTGCAAAGACGTCAGTGCAATATTACAGACATAGCAGATGCCGCTGCTGCCATTCATAATACAAGTCTTAGTGTTAAATCCTTTCGAGAGCTCTCTATTTGGTGCCAAGAGTTGACCAATTTGCTCTTCATTATTTTCCAAAGAGACAGCAGCATCTCCGATGAAATCATGCACCTGTACCTCACCTGGTGGTGATACTGATTGCTGGTACACATGCATCACCCTTGCTGGCTCTAGATTAGATTCCTGCACATTTTCAAAGACAGGAAAGCTGGATGTGTTGAGTTTTTTCCTATGTTTGTCACTCTCGAAATGCTGTCTAGCATTTTCAGGAGAAGAAAATGGCACACTGCAGACTTTACACATGAGAACATGACTGTTCTCCAAAGGAAAAGTTCCAGCAGCCAATGTGTTTCCTGTGTCGCCATTCACCAACTCTTCCCAATACTTCTTTTTGTGCTTCTTCCCTGCTATATGTGAGTTAGCATGAGCTTCAGACGTAAACAATAACTTACAAACGTAACAGTACCCTCTGCTTCCATTCATGACATAGGGCTCTCCTTTTGGACCCCTGGAGGGTGCAGGTGGCGCAGCTGGACCAATATCCCTGGCTGCTGCATAGCCAGTCATTTGTTCCAAAGTAGCTATATGTGGGTGGATACTACCAGAAGTAGCTACATGTGGCTGGATACTACCAGAAGTAGCTATATATGGCTGGACAATACCAGAAGTAGTTATATGTGGCTGGCTACTACCAAAAGTAGCTATATGTGGCTGGCTACTATCAGAAGTAGCTATATGTGGCTGGCTACTACCAGAAGTAGCTATTTGTGGCTGGCTACTACCAGAAGTAGTTATATGTGGCTGGATACTACCAGAAGTAGCTATATGTGGCTGGCTTCTATCAGAAATAGCTATCTGTGGCTGGATACTACCAGAAATAACCCCAAAACCAACATTATTAGATGTTATATAACTTTTTACTAGCCCAAGATCAATATCCTTCGGTAAAATAGGAGCTTTGATTTGTCCCGGGGTATCCATATTTGATGTTGCACCTGTTGTGTGCCCAGCATTTTTTACATTTGACGGTAAACATTCTTCAATCTTCTCACCAGCAGTAGCCTGATCAGCAGAAGTACGATCAGTAGAATCAACATCTAAAGGGATATTATCCGCCTGTCTCAAATCAACCTGACTGGACTGTTCTAAACTGCTTACGACAGATGGAATATGATCAGGAACATTGAAACCATTGCCCACCGTCTGTGAAGAATTAACCACATTTGAAGGAACAGCACCCAGGAGGCCAGGATTAGGAATGATCCCATCAGACTGCCCAGAACTGACAACTCCTGAAGATTTTTGATCAGCAAATTCTAGTGAGTTCAACATTGCAACTTTCTTTTTGTGCTTCTGACCTGCAATGTGTTCATTTGCCAGGCGTTCCGAAGTAAAAACAACATTACAGACAAAACAATGGCCACCTGGTCCAAGGAAATCATAAACATCAACACTGGAACCTCCGTTATGAATTACTTTGACATTCTGCTCTGGCAGAAGCGTGGTTCGTGCTGAATTAGGCAGGAGTGCATTTTCTGTTTGAGGGTTTAGGAGAACTTGTGATTTCTCTGTCCTTTTTAATATGTTTGCTACCTTGGACATGTTGTCTGCAGTGCTGCATTGACGTCAGCTCCAGATTACAAACATAGCAAAAACCTCTGTCACCTGTCATAACATAAGGTTCACCGTTAGGTCCTTTCCGCGGCTTCCACGGCAAAGTGTTCATTGCTGCAGCAGGTAAATCAGTTTCTTTCTGCAATTTATTTACATCCTGTGTGAAACCTAACACTTCTCTTGGTCTGGCAAAACTAGACACACCTGCCATCTGGACAGGTAAAATCTGAATTCCATCACCCAATCCCAGAGGATTCAGGTCAAACGTAGCTTTTTTCTCTGTGCTCAATTGAGCAGGGATTGTTTCATGCTGAAGTAGATTTTGTTGAGATGCGTAGTTCAAACTGTCCACGCTATTTAATGGTTGAGAACTGCGACTTGCGAGTACAGCTTTCTTAATCTCCACCCTTCTAATGTGACCGACACTGGACAAGTGTTGGCTGAGAGGTTCAACTCCATTCAGCTGGCAGTGACAGACTGTGCAACTGGAAGGAACATGGAGAAAGAAAAAAAAAAAACCATTACAAACATGCCCAAGTGTGGCCCAAAAGAAAGGGATCTCCTTTTCTTGTGAAGATATATGTATACATAAATAATCATCTTCACTTATAACAAATCGAAGTTAGAGAACCACTAAAGATGTGGAAGGGAAGTAAAGGGCATTCGAAAACAAATGACAGGAAACTGATGAACACTATATGGGACAAATTCAACAAAGTCACAGAAATCTCAGAAATGTCTGGACAACTGCTGGTATCAGTATAAGAGAAATAAGATGGCTACATACTGGGCATATACTGAGAGGCATTTTCTAAAAAGAAGCACACACACACAAAGAAAGCATCCAAAACAGGCACTGCAATAGGAAGCAAATGGACTAAACAAGTCCTCTTAGTGTTCACCAGCTGTATCTCCAGCCCAAAGTCCTAATTGTTTGTCTACTTCTGGACTCTGGTGTTTGTTCCAGAACTAAAGTTCTGCATGCAAACACATGTTACAGGTTTAGCTTATTTATATGCAAACTGCTGGTTCCTCCTCATATCTCTATATAAATACTACGTTCTTCTATCTATCTACTTCTTTTCTATGAGTGCCGATCATTACACTTTCTGTTACTTGATTAACTCATACCACCAGCAGATTCACTACAACTTCACAGAAAATACCCCCAATTAGTTAATGTGTATGACATGCTTGTTTTTAAAAAAAAGGGGGGGGGGGGGTGGGTCTATCTCCCCCCCCCCCCACCCCCATGGGGTCCCAGAACCCACTCAGGGAGACTGAGTAAGTTGTCTCCCCGCGAAGCTAAGACAAATGTTGATTAGAGACCAAGGGTGTCAGACTGGCTTTGAGAAAGAAGAGGAGGTAATTAACATGGAAACCAACATGAGAAAGAAGAGGAGGTAATTAACATGGAAACCAACATCTGAGAAAGAAGAGGAGGAGGCATGTAACATTTAAACCCAAACATTTGAGAAAGAAAGGGAGGGGGTATGTAACATATAAACCTACAAGAGAGAAAGAGGAGGAGGTAGTTAACATACAAACCATCATTTCAGAAAGAAGAATGAGCAAACTTAATTTTCAAAGGGTCACAAATTAGGCACGCAGGCCCATCTTACATTCTGCCCTTCCAGTCAACCATCTTTCGCACAGCAGTTGTATTTTACTAAAAAAGCATGTTATGATCACATGATGATATGTATATTATGAATATTATAAAAGAACACAAAAGCATGAGAAGGAGGCAGGTAACATAAAACCAAAATCTGAGAAAGAAGAGGAGGAGACAGGTAACATAAAACCAACATGTGAGAGAGAAGGAGCAGGAGGAGGCAGGTAACATATAAACCCCAACATTTGAGAAAGAAGAGGACGGGGTATGTAACATATAATAACACAAAAAAAACTACAAGAGAAAAGGAGGAGGCAGGTAACATAAAACCAACATTTTAGAAAGAAGAGGAGGAGGCAGGTAACATATAAACCCCAACATTTGAGAAAGAAGGAGTATGTAACATAATATACTTACAATAGAGAAAGAGGAGAAGGCAGGTAACATATAAACCAACATATGATAAAGAAGAGGGAAGAGTAGGTAATATTTTAACTTACACTTGAGAAAGATGAAGACACATGAAACATCATTTTAACTTACATTTAAGAAATAATAAGAGCTAAGTAATATATTAACTTACATGAATTTATTCATGGTTTCATAGAATATGCAGGTTTATCTATATTTCACAAGAAAGAGTTTCGGCATTTTCAGGAACACATCTTCACTTAATGTATGGTCCCCTCTAAGTTAAACAAACTAAAATTATGTACACTATCAATATGATAACAGTAAAATGAAGATACAGAAGTTAATAGCCAAGCAACAGGCATGGGTTCTCGGGCCTCACTATGGGGTGGGGGGGGGGGGTGGGGGGGGGGGGTGGGGGAAGAACGCACTGCCTCCTATGAAGCAGGTCATAAAAAGTGACTAATTAGGGTTTTCTGAAACAGGATGTGTTAGGCCAAATGGAACAGATATCACAGATTAGCTGTAAACCACAACCCTGTGTGCC